GAGTGCGCATGGCCCAGCCGAGAGGACCCTTCTTGGCACGGAGCTTGGCGTGGAAGCGCTCCTGGCCGTCAGCCATGAGCTCCTGGTAGGTAGCCTGGTCGCGAGCCTCAGGAACGGTGAGGCTCTTCTCGTTGCTCTGACCAACAGTCTTGACGCCAGTCTCACCGGCCTCGGTGATGGAATCGCTGGGGGTGCTGGGAGCCTCCTCATCATCCTCGTCGTGCTGAACAACGGCATAGTTGGGGATGCGGGCAAGAGAGCCATCAGCGGGAGCGGGGCGACGGAACAGGAGAGGGCCAAGGAAGATGTGGTACCAGCGGATGGTGTGGTCACGCTTGATGATGGCAGCGTGGACGTAGGGGACGAAGAAGAGAGCGGCGAGCAAGCAGACACCGCCACCAGTACCCATGGTGACAGCAGCAATGTACCACGCAGGCTTCTTGCCGAGACCCAGGTTGGGGGAACCCTTGTAGACGATGGAGAGAGTGCAGATGGTACCGGCAATGAGGAAGAAGAAGGGGGAGCTCCACACAGCAATGGGAGTAGGGTTCTTGCGCATCAGGACAACCACCTTGATGAGCATGTAGATGGTGGCAGCGAAACCAGCAGAGATGGCAGGGGCCATACCAAGACCAGCGAAGATGGCACCGAGACCCTTACCCTTGTTCCAACCCCATTGGACCTTATCAGCACCGACAGTAGCAACACCGACACCAGCAACAGCAGAGATCAGAGAGTATGTGGAGGAGACGTGGGCAGAGTTGCGAGTACACCACATGACCCAAGAGGAAGCGGCAGCGAGAGCACAGGCAAAGGCAAGCATCTGAACACCAGCATCGCCACGGAAGGCCTCGTTGGGGATGATACCGTTCTTGATGGTATCGGCGGTACGGGCACCGACAGTGATGGCACCGAGAAGCTCGAAGATGGTACCGAGGACCATAGCCTGGCGGTAGGTGATGGAGCGGGAGGAAACACTGGTAGCCCAGGAGTTGGCGACATCATCTGGAGAAGGAGCTTGTTAGCCGACTGCGTTGTGATCGACATTCTTCCTGTCGTCTCCCGTCGTCTTTTTTTTGAAATGTGGAGTTTGGGAGAAGAATGGATGGTATAATGCTTGCAAGGCTGAGAGAAGTATATACTTACTAGCACCGTTGTTGTAGGCATCAAGCATGGCAAAGACCGTGCCAATGCCGAAGATGTAGTCATACTGATGGAGCGTCATGGTGACGGTTTGTGAGGGGCTCTCGGCCTGCACTCAAGATTCGATCTTAGGGTGTAATTGATTAAAAGGAAATCCAAAAAGGAGGATCTTTGAGGAGCAGGATCTAAGAAGATCGGGACTGCTTTTGTTCTCGAGAAGAGAGAGAGATGGGGAAGGAGGAGGATGTTTGTTGGCGTGAAGAGAAGAGGAGACACGGAACCTTGCGAGCAAGGCGAGGTTTATATATTAAAGTGCAGACATGCAGAATGTAATGACAAGACATAGAACGAAGGGAATCAGAAAGGAAGAAACGTGGAGGGCGTGAGAGACAGGAGGGCCGGGGGGAGGGTGTGAGAGGGGTGTGGTATATTGAAAGATGGAGTTGAAGCAGCTGTGCAACGGAGCCAGATCTTTGGCTCTATTCCCGCTTGATAAGCCAGTGTTCTCGACTTACACTCAAGGGCAATACCGAAGGTAGGACAGGCAGCACGCAGCACGCAGCCTGTGAGGCGTGCGATGTGTGGTAAAGTGGTTTCGCATTAGGCGTGTCCGTATCTAGTGTGGTTCGTGCTCTGTGGGTGAACGCCCAACGAAGGTGGATGCGTGAGTATTTGCCCACTTGGTTCACCGAGCGAAGTTCTACGAGGCGAGACAAAGGCGGATAGGAAAAAAAAGAGGGCTCCCAGCTCCAACAGTACCCTTGCCCTCCTGCATGGTACTATGTAAAGCAACGACGGCTAGGCCGCCTGCTACTGCGCAGCGTGTGAGGTATGGGGCAGAGGCAAAGAGGACATGCACGTTCTCTCCACCGTTCGGTGCTGGAACGGGTGGGCTAGTGTTTTGATGTGGAGATGGATTGTGTACGATGGGTTTGTGGCTTCGGTGGTCTTATGCAGGCCTGTTCAGATGAGGGATGTGAGCACGTGTGCTCGGATGCGACTCGTAGATGCTTAGAAACAGGCCAAGAAAAAGAAACAGTTGCGGTTTGCAAGATATGGTCCTATTGTGGTTTGGTCTTTTGTCTTCTTGTTGCCACTGTGATCCAGTCACTCAGATATTCAGTATTCAGTCAGGTTGATTAAGCATATAAATTGTGAAAAATAAAATAAGACGAAAAAACTCATTTCAAAAATAATCATAATAATGCTAAAAATTCGTCTTCATTTTCCCCAAAAGGTCTTTCTTTCTTCAGAAAGCCGAGAACCAAACGAGGAGAGCTTCGGTTCCCAGTTGAGGTTCGGGTCTTGAATTGCTCGTTCAGCGCACCACTAGAATGGCTAGAATTAGGCTTAGGCTCAGTAGATAACCGTAAAAAAAAGGTCATCAAGACTGACCCATGCAAGCCATTTCCGGGAGTTGGGACTAGCCAGTCGGGCCCCTGTCTGCCAAGAGACTCCCCGAACGAACCACACCAGAGCGGGCACACCAGAGCGGGCACACCAGACCCAGAGGCACACCAGAGGCACACCAGAGGCATGGTGAAAAAGGCCAGGGAGGGGGGGACCATACAAGCGCCAGGGACCACTCCGATCCCTCTGGATCCCTCTGAACCAGCTCGCGGGGAAGCTCTGGCCCAAAGAAGCTTGCACGTGGGTGGGATCTTGAACTGCTACTGGATCTCGACATCTTGCGCCACCCTGGTCTCTAGCGTCCCTGACCATACTACACACAGAACGTCGCACAACTTCGGTCATCTCACTTTGGATCTTTGAAACCAGTGTATGCCTGGTTCTGCATACCCGGGTGAGGTACCATTCGTGTCTCTACCACCCTGTGGAGAACTTTTTGAATAAACGGCGCTGAGGTGATCGAACAAGGGCCAATGAGTCCCTTTTTCCCCCCAAAGATGACAAAATTCACCAACCAGAGGTGCCACAGCAGCTTATTCACTTTAAAGCCAAAATTAACCTTGGAAAAAAGGTTCAATTTTTTTTCTATTTGACAGCACAGAACCACCACGCATTTCTTCCCCATTCGGAATCTGGCACGACTCATCTCCCCGAGGCAGCGCGCGAATCACAACGCTTCAATTTCTCCCACGTGCCTCCTGCCCATTGTCTCTATGGCATCGGACAACATCAGACACCCTTCAAACAACACTCCACACGTGCCCATTCGAAGTTGGAAATTCTCTTGTCAATTTCCCTTTCCGTGTTAACAGGACCGGCTGAATAAACGTATTTGAGCCAAAATAGTTGATTAGAGAAGAGAAAGGACAAAAAAAAGATTAGAGACTTTGTTCTCGGCCCTGTCATCTCGTGCCTGTTTTTGCCACTTCTGGCGTACCACGAGCACACGTTCTCTCTCTCTCCATCTCTAATTAGCTATCAACATACACAGTACCTGTAGTAATTAATCTGTTTTTTTAATTGCAGAAACCGTATAGAAGAGAATAGCCTGCAGTAGTAAAACAATTCCCATGTTCTTTCTTATATTGGATAGTTTACGAATATTATTAAATCCCGACGACAATTCTTGGCAAGCTTAACCTGGTAGAAATGGAGGGAGTGTAAGGAGGCAAACGAGGTCCATGTGACTGGAATGTTTTCACATCTTTCCGCCATTGAAGAAGAAGAAGAAGAAGACGCTATCCGTCCTGTCTCCAAGCGCGAGGCTAGCTTTCTCCATCCAAATGGTTTGCAGCAAACAACAAGAATAAAAACAACAGCAGCAACAACAACCAAAGTCCTCATTGATGAAGTTTCTTCCACAGGTCCAAAAAAAGAATCCAGGACACCCTCACAGCCAGCCCTCCAAGAACTTCCAAGACATCCAAGACGTTGCATCCCCCCCTTCCCGTATCTCCCGCATCTCGGGCGATCGGTCTTGGTACTTGGCAACACAATCCAAACTCTTTCGTTTGACCGACGAAGGAGGCTTGGCGATCTCCTTGTATGCGCCAAGAAAATACCAAGCCGGAACAATGCGATGATTGCCGTGTCCAGGACAACCAGCCCAGTCCAGCCAGTCAGTCCAGCCAGCTAGCCACCTGGGTTCGGCAAGTTTAGCCAAGCCAAAGACTCAGCGTGGGCTTATTCTGGTTCCCACAGCACTCACTCTCTGCCACGTCTCACACAAACTCACACACTCAGACTGGGCGCAAAAAATATACATTCGTCAGCCGATTGTATTTCTTCACCGACCCGTCATATCTCAGGCGGTCATGTATCAAGCCCCATAAGTGTCCGTAGTCGGTTTGAGTAACGCTCTAGGCCCTGCCTAGAAGCCCAACTGTCCGTGCAGTAGTTGCACGTCCAACCCGATCGATACCAATCCAGCAGACCGAGAAGGCTGCAGGTGAGTTCCCATGCATGTACGATCCATTAGTGTGTAAGCGTAGTCTCTTTCGATGGTTCCTTGTTGAACACCCATACTTCGAAAAAGTAACGGGCCGAGGTAGGCGTTTGAGTGGCGGGTTTGGCTCAACTCGGGTCGCATGCCTCTTAGCCGAAAAGCGCAGGCAGTCAGAAAAGAGAGGTCAGCGATGTATGCATCATCAATTTAGCACCGTCGGTGTTAGTGCTCTGGAAGACGCCGAAGGCAGAAGGTTAAAAAAAAAAGAATTCTAAGTATTGCCTGGCGTAAAAGTAAAAAATTCTGTCTGGCTGTGACTTTGTTGGGCTGTCCATCTTTGCCTTCCCGGGTAGGTCACTAATAGGCGAGCTTTTGCTCCAAGACAATCTTGTGCATTTTGACGCAAAGAAGCAGGGTTTTGATGGGAACAACGGAAGAATCGTCGGGAGCCGCCGGCTCTGGAATATAGCCACTATTCTCTGGCCCCGAGACCATCAACACCGGCAAGATGGCCGAGCGGTTAAGGCGGTAGTTTCAAGCGCTAGCTTACTCACTAAAAGCGAGACAGATCACTACTGGAGCAATCCTCCTGGGTTCGAGTCCCAGTCTTGTCAGACTTCATTTTTTGAAGTTGTCCCATGCCATGTCCAAATCAACTAGTTTTAGGGCTTTGGTTTTTCCTTTTTTTCTTCAAGTCTCGTAGTGTTCCTCTAGTAGGTAAGCTTGTCTAAGACAGAGCACATGCCAGCAGCCTGGTTCACACCAGCGACGGACAAGATGGCCGAGCGGTCTAAGGCGTAATGTTCAAGAAAATTGAATTTCTTTCCTATCACAAATGGGAACCATTATATCGAGAGATGCCAGGGTTCGAATCCCTGTCTTGTCAAGCTTTTTTTTTGTGCCGTGTGTGATTGTTACAGTTCTTCTTTTGGGGGGGGGGGTTTTAGTATACACTGGTTGTGCAGATGTTACTGTATCCAACCAGTCGGGCACGATGACAGGAGGGATAAGAGATATGTGATGAATATGCAGCATAAAGTTAGGCAGGTATTTGCGATGTGAACTTTGACAACGCTAGGGAGTGGATTTTTTTTTAAAAAAAAAAAAAGAGAATTGTGCTTCTCTAGGAGTTTATCATGTGCGTTACTATCCTCAACTCAGGGAAATGTCCGTTCCTAGTGTACGACTCAAAAACAATAGAATAGTTTTTTAGTTTACAAGAGTGTACGTAGTAGAATTCAATGTGATCTGAGATTAGGTACTGACGTGGGAGCTGCCGTGGCATTATCTCATGCATGGCATTGGTGGTGTCTTGGCTGACTCACAAGTTGTAGTTATTCGAGTCAGAATTAGTGCACTAACGGCGCCTACCCTATACTGATACCGTTTCGTAATCATGTCGAGTTTGGGTAACCGTTTTAAGTTTCACATACGTGGCAGATATTGACTCTTGTGCCTGAATGCAAGTTCTGTACCTGATATCGAGTATTTGTGTGGGTCGATTAAGTTCTGTCAGACATTGGCGTGGCGCAGGAACAGAGTTGGTTGTCAAGAAGGTAGGAAAGTTCCTGGGCAGTTAGATCGAAAGCCAATAAAGTCAACAACCAGCACCAAGGACTTATACTTTATTTCTATCATGAGCCAACCATGGATATACGAACACAAAAGGAAAGGAAAAAAAAGTATTTACTAAAAATGATAAGAAGGGAGATGTAATTTGCAACATGTCATCGGATCCAATTTTTATGATGGTTGTTGCAATGACTTCTCATTGCGATCTTGGGATAGTTATTCAGCGAGTCTGGGCAAATCAAATCATACCATTGGGGCACTTTCGCAGCTGAAATTGAGCCAAGGTCCCAGTATAATGCAAATTAAAGGCCCCTGCTTCCAACAATTAGCAGATTGGGCCCGGCTAGCTCAATCGGAAGAGCGTGAGACTCTTAAGAGTACTCCGTGCCAAACAGACATCTCAAGGTTGTGGGTTCGAGCCCCACGTTGGGCTATTCCTATATTCAAATTCTTTTTTTGCACTTTTTTATTCGATAATTACTCTTACAAGACTCGATTTCTTTTTTTTGTCTTTGTCGCACACGCAGCATCAAAGATAAAGCCCAACGATGTGGTATGCTCGTGTGACTCGCAATCCAAAGAGCCCCTCTCTTTATCCCCCATAAACCCCTGTAAACTCCTGCAAACCTGACAAGCCGTTTACTGCCTTCTGCACAACAATCCCGTGGCCCAGTATCTCTCGTTGAACATGATATTGCCAAGTCCATCTCATCTACAACTTCGCCTTGTCTACATGGCCAGCGTCACTATTGGCCACTCCCCCTTGACCATTTCCACCCTCTTCACCTGCTTTGTGCACAGTCTGCTGTACCCGACTCAGCAGCCACTCCTCGATAGCTCTCGACAAAGCCTCAACCTCCGCCATCGTATTTCCAGCGTGAAGACATATCCTCACCCTCTCACTCCCCCGTGGTACAGTCGGTGCCACAATGGGCCGCACCATGAAATTTCTCTGCTGGCAATGTTGCGCCAAGCTTCGAGGGTGGGACGTGAGCAGCGGTATAATTGGTGACTTTGGCGCTTCCTCACTCAGCCATAGCAAGTCTGGCGTTGGCCGGTGGCGAGCACAGAGCGATCGAAGCAGACTGTGTGTGTGGCTCATGAGTTGACGGAGGTGGAGGGTGAGAGGCTCGGCACTGTTGGCCATGAGGAAATCGTACGTCACTCTGATGCTGGCGAGCGATGGGAGCGCCATAGCAGTGGTATAAATGAGGGTTCTGGCGTAGTTGATGAGATAGGACCTTGTGGTGTGAGACGAGAGCACAATGGCTACAGAAGGAGTCAGTTTCATGCTCATAGGGTTTTGTCACAATTGCGGGATGTGGGATGCTGAATGATCAACGTGTACGCCAATGCCATCGCCAACGCCAACTCACCTCCAGAACAGCTCATGGCCTTTCCGAATGTGTGCACACGAGCGAAGACGCTGTCTTCCAGCCCAAGCTCACAGACGAGCCCACGACCCTGTCGACCAAAAATACCGGTGGAGTGTGCTTCATCAACTATGATATAGCCGTTTCCCCCCGGTAGTCGCCGCTTCACACACTCAACCACCTCCCTGAGAGGCGCAACATCTCCGTCCATGCTGTAAACGCCCTCAATGGCAATGAATACGTGCGTCTTTCCTTGGCGAATGCTGCTGCCTGACTCGCCCGCAGTCAAGTCTTGAAGTACGGCATCAAGGCTTTTTACACTTTGGTGACTTGCTTCGTCATGCTCACTTGAGACCGTGTTGTGTCGAAAGGGTACCCTCCGCGCCGCCCGGCTTTGTCTCATGCCGTCGTGCACGCTGGCGTGGATGAGCTCATCGTAAACGAAGACATCGCCGGGCTGGGGCACGCAACTGAACAAGCCAACATTGGCATCGAACCCGGAGTTGAACAAGAGACCTGCGGGAGCTCCGTGGAACGAGGCGATGTCGCGTTCCAACGTCTCTGCAAAGGAGCTATTGCCGTCGAGCAGACGCGATCCTCCGGAGCCTAGAACTGGGAAGGTGGTCGCCGTCCCGGGGGAGGACGAAGACGAAGACGAAGATGATGACGACGACGACGACGCATTGTCAATATGAGTCTGCAAGAACGACAGATATGCACGCTGGACGTCTGGGTTACTGGCCAGTGAGAGGTAGGAATTGGAGGAGAAGTCTACCATGCCAGGGGAGACTGTGGTCAGACGGCGCAGTTGGGAGCGGGACTCTCGACGGGCGAGAAGAGACTTGAAGGTCTCCTCCAGCGAGGGATTGTGCATGGTGAGTTGCAAGGGCTTTCAGCTAATCATGATGCAAAGATCGAAGCCTTGTGTTGTATTTTTGTCAAGGCAATAATTTGAAACCCGAAAAACTGGTTACTCGCTCATTATTTCGGCGTGCCGAACCCGGCGCAGTAGAGGCCTATTAAATTGGTGGTGGGGGGGGGGACGGACTGCATACGCACATGCACTCACAGTACATTCGTAGCATGTGCTGGCCCTGACCTCAACCGATGAGTCGACAAACTACACTGTGCCTGGCACATTTTCATGAGGATTCGCGGCCTCCAATTCGTTAACTCAGGCCCCTGGCCATTGGTTGACAGCTCGGCCCGCGCGGCGTCCGGGTTGACTGATTGACAGGTCCGTCGCAAATTTGATGGAGCAAAGTGCCTGAGATGACGGCGCTAAGGATTGCGGGGTTGATCGATGGAGGGGAAAGCAATACAGTATGATGCCCAGCTCCTATGCCCCTCCATTGTTCACTAATCCGGTGCATCACGGTTGATTTGATGAGTTTGGCTTTGGCTTTGGCTGCTGATGGCTGATACATATGGTAAAAGAGAGGGAGGAGGAAGGGGGGATTAAGTTGACGGATGAACCATACGTCGGGATGATATCAATTCAGGACAGGAGGTGATTCTTCCTTTTCTTCAAGCCTCATCTAGAAGAAAGCCCTTTGGAAAAAGAAAACCCCCCATTGGTGAGATGGTTGTTGAGCTCCAGGTACGGCGGCCCATCGGCATCGGTAGTTGTCCGCGGACGGCTACATGCCGATCCAGGCCGACCCGTTCAACAATTATTAGCGATGCCGACCACCAGCCTCAACAATTCCACAAACCCCGAGTCTCTCTCTGCCGCAAGGATCCCGTCCCGGGGTAAATTTCCGGCGTCGTCATCGTCTGCTGCTGCTGCTGCTTATTATTGTCACAGCCATTACATGAAGCTGGTTTCAGTACCACCTGATATAACATCCCCCCCGCCCATGTACAGAACGCCATCTCATCCTTCGCTCTCCTAACTCTCACCATGCCACCCGTTGGCGCTCAGCTCTGGCGCGCTCTCCGCGTCCACCAGGTCTACGGCGCCAACACCGAAGTCGGAAAGACTATCTTGACGACCGTTCTGTGTAATTCGGCTGCTAAGAATTGGACGGGGGAGCAGGTGTCTTACCTCAAACCCGTGTCCACAGGTCCTCAAAATGAAGCTGATGATAGGTGTATGTTAACCCCCTCCCCCCTCCTCCGTCATATCGAACATCCTCCCCCCCTTCTTCCTAGCTCTAGTCTGACCAGATATAGATGACCGTCCTTTAACAGAGATCATGTGATATCTGTTTAATGCACATCAGAAAAATTGACATGGGTTGAAATGATTCTAGACATATTGAAACTTATACTTCAAACGTGAAAAACGAAACACTCTTTCAATACGAAATTCCTGCCAGCCCTCACTCAGCAGCTGCAGCTTCAAGCAAGGTGAGTTCATAACGCAATTTACAGATGCAAACACCCAAACATGTCTTGATTCAAAGAAAGTCCACAAACGCTTATATCTCAATGACAGCCCACTCCGACAGATCATGAGCTCCTCACCAAAATCAACGACCACATCTCTCACCGAGCTCATCAGGGCCCGGGCTGGCTATTCCTAGAAACAGCCGGCGGTGTGCACTCTCCCGGCCCATCGGGAACTACGCAAGCTGACCTCTACGCTCCTCTCCGCATGCCTGTCGTTCTCGTTGGCGACTCTAAGCTCGGAGGCATCTCTCAGACCATCTCAGCCTTTGAATCGC